TGTCCTGACTGTTGATGTACAATTTAATACTTTATCCCTTTTAGTATTTTTTGTTCTAGTACTATTGGTTGAACTCTGTAATTAACACACAATAATTCTTAGGTGTTTAAATTTTAACTGCAAAGTGATCCCTGTTAAATATAAGAGTGGGAATAAGAGAGGGAGGAGATGTACAATTTGGGACATGCTCAATCGGACTTGCCCCAAATGGTGGAGTTAGAAACGTGCCAGGGGATTCCAATTCAATCCCATCAAGGTGGCATGTACCAATGTCATCTCACTACTCCAAGTGATCAATTTCAGTTCACAATTGATCACACTGATAGCTCTAAGAGGCAAAGGGATCACACAAATAAGACTAGTGTCTGCTAATACTAACTGAAAGAAAAAAAAAGGGAGAGAACGATCCAACCTGGGATGCGGGATACACAGCAGACTCAAAGAATGGCAGATGTCCTAAATAGCACTCTGGCCTCAGAATCAGCCCTTAATCATTCAGATCTGGCTGAAGAGCCCATGAGAGTATTTTAGGCATGGAAAGCCAAGACACTCTGGAAAGAAAAAAAAGAAGAAGACCTAAATGAAACATCTTTGCGAGTGAGATCCCAGTGGAAAGAACAGGGCCATCAAAGAAGGAGGTACCTTTCTCTGAAGGGTGGAGAGAACTGCCACTTTGGCTATGACCCTGTCTGAATAAGATCGAAGTCGGCGAACTCAAAAGGCTTCCATAGCCTTGGCAACTCATGGCTAGAGCCTAGGGAGATTACTGTTGCCATAAACAAGAGTGTCAAATTGTTAAATCAATAACAGGAGTCACTGTGCACTTACTCCTCATGTGGGATCTATCCTTAATGTGTTGTCCAATGTGAAGTAATGCTATAACTAGTACTGAAACAGTATTTTGCACTTTGTGTTTCTGTGTGGGTGCAAACTGATGAAATCTTTACTTAATATATACTAAATCGATCTTCTGTATATAAAGAGAATTGAAAATGAATCTTGATGTGAATGGAATGGGAGAGGGAGCGGGACATGGGAGGGGTGCAAGTGGGAGGGAAGTCAAGGGGTGGGGAGCCATTGTAATCCATAAACTGTACTTTGAAAATTTATATTTACTAAATAAAAGTTAAAAAAAAAAAACAGAAAGAAAAGAAATTCTAAAAAAAAAACCCCATATTTTAGTAACACAGTTTTTGTTTACATCTGTTATGTTTATAAAAAAAATGGCTATATCCTCATGTTCGTGAATGTGAGTACACAGAGTACCATTAAAACCAAACTTTAGGCCAGCGCCACAGCTCACTAGGCTACTCCTCTGCCTGTGGCACCGGCACACCAGTTTCTAGTCCTGGTCAGGGTGCCGGATTCTGTCTTGGTTGCTCCTCTTCCAGGCCAGCTCTCTGCTGTGACCCGGGAGTGCAGTGGAGGATGGCCCAAGTGCTTGGGCCATGCACCCCATGGGAGACCAGGAGAAGCACCTGGCTCCTGCCTTCGGATCAGCGTGGTGCGCCGGCTGCAGCACACTGGCCGCGGAGTCATTGGAGGGTGAACCAATGGCAAAGGAAGACCTTTCTCTCCGTCTCTCTCTCTCACTGTCCACTCTGCCTGTCAAAAAAAAAAAAAAAAACAAAACAAAACAAACAAACAAACAAAAAACCGAATTCTAATTCTTCTCAAGCTATTCAAAACAATTGAAAGGTGGGGGTATTCTCCCAAACTCCTTCTATGAAGCCAGAATCACCTTAACTCCTAAACCAAAAAAAGATAAAACAAAGAAAAAGAACAATAGACCAATATCCCTGGTGAATACAGACACAGAAATATTCAACAAAATACTAACCAATTGAATCCAACAACACATCAGAAAGATCATTCACCCAGACCAAGTGGGATTTATGTTTGGTATACAATGATGGTTCAACATTCACAAATCAATAAATGTGAAACATCACATTAAGAAACTGAAGAACAAAAGCCATATGATTATCTCAATAGATGCAGTGATAAAATAAGGATAAAATAAAGCATCCTTTCATGATGAAAATCAAGCAAATTGGGTATAGAAGGAACATTCCTCAACACAATGAAGGAAATTTATGACAAACCCATGGCCAACATCTTACTGAATGGGGAAAAGCTGGAAGCATTCTCATTATGATCATACAAGGATACTCACTCTCACCATTACTATTCAATATGCTCCTGGAGATTTTAACTAGAGCCATTAGGAAAGGAAAAGAAATCAAAGGGATACAAATTGGGAAGAAAGAAGTCAAACTATCCCTATTTTCAGATGACATGATTCTACACATAGGGGATCCAAAAGACTCCACTGAGAGAATATTGGAACTCAGAGAAGAGTTTGGTAAAGTTGCAGAATATAAAATTAACATACACAAAAATAATCAATAGCCTTTGTATACACAGCTAATGCCATGCTGAGAAAGAATTTCTAATATCAATCCCATTCATAATAGCTACAAAAAAATCAAATACCTTGGAATAAATTTAACCAAGGATGTCAAAGATCTCATGATGAAAATTATAAAACATTAAAGAAAGAAATATAAAAGGACACAAAAAAGGGAAATATCCCATATTCATAGATTGGAAGAAACAACATCATCAAAATGTCCATAGTCCATACTAACAAAAGCAAATATACAGATACAACATGATTCCAATCAAAATACCAAAGAAACTCTTCTCATATCTAGAAAAAACAATGCTGAAATTCATATGGATATTCAAGAGACCCCAAATAGCTAAAGCAACCTTATACAGCAAAAACAATGCTGGATGCATCATAATATCAGGTTTCAAGACATACTACAGGCAATTATAATTAAAACAAGCCTGGTACTCACACAAAAACAGATGGGTAGACCAATGGAACCAAATAGAAACTCCAGAAATCAATCTATGCATCTATAACCAACTTATCTTTGACAAAGGAGCGCAAATCAATCCCTGGAACAAGGACAGTCCCTTCAACAAATTCTGCTGGGAAAACTGGATCTTCACATGCAGAATTATGAATGAAGACACCTACCTTACACCTTACATAAAAATCCACTCAAAACTGATCAAAGACCTAAATCTATGATCCAATGCCATCAAATTATTAGAGAACATTGAGGAAATGCTGTAAGACACTGGCATAGGCAAAGACTTCTTGAAAAAGACCCCAGAAGCACAGGCAATCAAAGCCAAAATTGACAAATGGGATCACATCAAATTGAGAAGTTTCTACACTCAAAAGAAACATTCAGCAAAGTGAAGAGGCAACCAATAAAATGGTAGAAAATACTTTTAAACTATGCAACTGTTAAAGGATTAATATCCAGAATCTGTAAAGAGCTCAAGAAAGTCAACAATAACAAAACAATCAAGTTAAGGACTTGAACTGACATTTTTCAAAAGAGGAAATTCAAATGGCCAACAGACACATGAAAAATGCTCAGGATCAGGAGTAATCAAGGAAATGCAAATCAAAACCACAATGAGATTTCACTTCACCCCAGTCAGAATGGCTTTCATACAGAAACCACAAAGAACAAATGCTAGTGAGGGGGGGGGGGGGGTGGAATGTACCCTAATCCACTGTTGGTAGGAATGTAAACTGGCCCAGCCACTGTGGAAGAGAGTACCTCAGAAATCTGAATATAGACCTACCATATAAGCCGGCTATTTCACTATTGGGAATTTACCAAAAGGAAATGAAAGCAGTTTACGAAGGAGTTTTCTGCACACCCATGATTGTTGCAGCTCAAATTACAATAGCTAAGATATGAAATCAACCTAGATATCCATCAACTAAAGACTAGATAAATAAATAATGGAATACTACACAGAGCTAAAAAAAAAAAAGAAATCTTGTTGCTTGCAACAAAATGGATGCAACTGGAAGCCATTATACTTAGAGAAATAAGCTAGTCCCCAAAAGACAAATACCATATGTTTTCCTAAAAGGTGATCTATAGAAGTGAAACTGACACTTTAAATAAGTCCCCAAAAGACAAATACCATATGTTTTCCTAAAAGGTGATCTATAGAAGTGAAATTGACACTTTAAATATTGAACAGCTCTTGTCTCAACTGCTGAGGAACAGTTTTTATTTTTTATTTTTTTGCATACTATTTGTTGAACTCTTTCCTTACTGTAGGAAATCTATATATTAATCATATGTGTATAAAGTTAATTGAAAAAGATCTTTGTAAAACACAAATAATAATGAGAATAGGAGAGAGAGGAGGAAGAAGGGTCAGAGTGCGGGCAGAAGGAGGGTAGGATGGGAAGAATCATTATTTTCCTAAATTAGTTTATATTAAATGCATCAAGTTTGTATACCTTAAATAAACGGTTTCTAGTTTAAAAAAAAAAAAGAAAGAAAGAAGCTTTCAGTTGATCTCTCTTTTGTTAGCATTTATACTGCTGGAGTTACTAAAGTCTTAAAACTTCATCAAGACCTTTTGGGTTACCATGTTATTAATTCACTCTTTTTTGGTTAAACATGTCATTTTCTCCAATATGATCCTATAACTTCATTTTTCATGGCAAGCAAATGTTTATTTTTTATTTGAATATAGCATATCTCAGCAGATCTTGTACTTGCCAATTAAAAAGACACTGCCTTGCATAATGAACCAACCTCTGTCTCTTTCTGCCACACATCAAAGTCTATTTCTGTGCAAATATCTCTAACATACTCATCATCAAACTGTAACCCTGGGACTGCACTGAATTTGTTTACACTTGTTATGTCTTATATTGCTGAAGGCCCAACTTAAAAGCTAAGTAAAGAAAGAAAAACATGAGGTTTCTTCCATAAAGAATATTGTAAAACAGAGATTAAGGGCACAATTTTATGACTCAATCTGTGCAATCTAACTTGGTTCACAATTAAAGAATGATTTTAATTGTCAAACTTTTAAATTTTATTAAATGTTTGAAGCAATGCATTGAATGAATTCCAGACCTACATAAATACACAGGCAGCTGTTTGTAATTTGCATATTTATCAGTTTTGAAAGAGCACAATGTACTTCCTGCATCTTATTTTCAGAATTTGCATTTTATCATCTTTGGCTATCCCGTATATGGTATGGAGTACTTGAATATCTCATTCTTTGAATTTTCATTTTCGATTGTAAATCAGATGATGTCTGACACTTTTCTCTTTTCTCATTTTTCCTCTTCTCTCAACCTCCAAGTTTACTTACTCCCATTTCTTCGTGGCTCTAATAATAAAATATACAAAATGTTGATTATTTTCTATTTCAATTTTCAGGGCACTGATAGTTCATATTTCTTTTGCTAATGGCCATGAAATTCAAAGACAAAACAAAAACTAAGCTTATTACTTTCATTCATAAATATTCAAAATCAATTCAGGTCTTTTTGCTGCTTAATATGTAGTGCACTTGGGTGGAGGAGTGGAAAGTAATGGAAATGATACTATCTATAAGGCTGTGCAATGGGACACTTAGAATGAACTCAGTCAGTCACCTCCATTGCATCAACTACATTCCTATCAGAAAGGACACATGGCCTCTAGGGAAAGCCAACAATGAGAATGACATCTTCAGGTCTCTGCAGCTCCTGCCCCTGCCTCTCACAAGGCACTCACATTTTCCTTTCCTATTGCATTATCATCACAGTATCCAACACCATTTTCCCAAAAGGCTCCTCTCACTCATTTACACTTCTATGGCCTTGGCTGTCAGAGCCTTAGAGAAACAGACTAGAGGCAGCTTGTGTTTTCTGCCTCCTTCCTTCCAGCAGTCCATCTGTCCACTGGGAAATGTTGAAACTGCTGCCCTGTACCCTAGCAGAAATATGTGGAGAAAGAAACAGAGCTCATCTTTCTCTTCCTGCTCTGCTGATGACAACAACAATCCAAAAGGGTAAGAGTTTTGGAGTCAGAAATTTATGAGTGAAAAGCAAGTAAGAAAATACATTATATACGATAAAATTTTATAAAAGGTATTTAATTTCTTGACTTCAGGTCCCTAGTCTTCCTGATGTAAAAAACTGACCTAGATCTAGATCTTTCACATCTAGTTCTCAGTCCAACACAGTGATTTCTTAGTCACTTCACTTTTGCATTTCAATCAAATTCAGACTTAATTTTTTCCTCAGGGTTTTATTCCTAGCAAGTTTACTAACGTAGATCCTAATTTCTGGGTAGGGAGAGGGGAGAAAGGTTACTTCTCTGTGGCAGCTAGGAAGAGAATATCACTTCAGATCTTGTCAAGTATGGTTCTGTGCTATACTCTTATTTCCCTTGAAGGTGGTCCAGATAATGTAGTCAAAGGTTTATCAAACTTTAATGTGTATGCTAAACATGGAGGCATGCTTTCAAATTTAGATTCTGATTTAGTGAGTCTGGGATGGGGACTCTGCTTTTTTTCACAAATTCCTAGATGGTATCATTACAGCTGGTTTTCAGATCATACTTTAAACAATATTTGGTCAGTGGATGCTGCTTTGGTTTCTATTTGGCTCTTTATTAGAGGCAACCCATTGACACTGCTAAGTACCCCTCACACACCTCAAGAGGGCTGAACAACAAACATTTTTCCAATGCTTCAGTTCCAGCCAGTAGACCTTGTATAAATCAATTAATCTGTTCTCAGGACCTCTCTCCTGCTTGAGGTCCCCAGGAACATCGGATGGCCTGGCACCTGCAAATCTCAAGAAGCTATATTTAGCCCTGATGTGTCAGACATGGTCTGACTTCCCCCCAACTCAGATGACACTGAAAAGCTCTCCCCAAAGCTTTTCACCCCCTGTAACATCTAGGAAAGGCAACACAGTCACAGATGGATGCATAGATCCTGTGCTACAAGTGGAAGGTACACTTCCCATACACACGTAGATGCACAGACTCTGCAATGCACATAGATGGTGTTTCCTGTTCACACCTGGATGTGCAGATCCTATCTATACATAAATGGCACACACGGATATGTAGATTGTGTACTACACAGGGATGGTACATGTTTCCTGTTCACACACACATGCAGATTCTGTGTTACACATACATGCTACATTTTTCTTGTTCACACAGACGTGTAGATTCTGCACTACACTTGGAAGGTACATGTTTCCTCTTCACACATGGACACATAGATTCTGCACTACACACAGATGGAAGATGTTTCCTGTTTGGAAGTGATCCTTCTTTCCCCAATCCTTCTTGGGAAAACAGGGGAGAAGACTACTGGAACACAAGAGCAGTCAAAGGGATCGATGGGATAAGGAGAGAGGGAGGAGCACATCCTTCATTACTCCAAATATCATCCTGTCCTTAAGGAAACCATAGAAGAAATGGCTGTAGCTCAATGATTTCTAATTTCATCCATAAATCTGATCAACTTTTCACCTCTGTATCCGCTAAAATTAAGTGCAATTACATGTGATAGACCAACCAAAATTAAGTGAAAATATAGGCAATTAAGTAACACTGCATTAGAGTTATCTCACAGTACAACGCGATTTGAGAAAAGACAGGAGAAAAAGCTGTCGTTTTTGTGTAAATATATACACAAGCTACTTCTGCACTGAGTCACAGTGCAGTTAGAACTATTTCAAGAAGCGTCATGTCAACTCTTCATTTTGGCAAGGGGAAGGTTTCTAGTCTGGACATATTCTGGTTCGTTCTGGGAGGCTCTGGAATAAGAATTTATGGATTTTAGGTTATTTAGAAAGTTTTAGGCTATGTCTGTAGGTAAGATAGCCCTTTCTGGAGCTTTTTCTGACAGGTTCAGTTATATGAGAAGTAACTGAATCCACTGTATCCTGTGTGGTTTTCCAAACTTACATAGTCAGCCCAGGGTAGGTTGGGAGGAGACACTAACCTGTTTAGCAGGACAGTCTGAGGTCAGGGCTATTACGAACTTCAAACCCAAGAGATTCCCAGGATCCCTTCACCCTCCGAGAGCACAAGGTACAACAAACATGGGAGCATGGACACTTAGAACCTCCTGGACAAGAAAACTCATCTTGTGTTCTCTGTTAGCCTTTACCAGCCAGTGTTTGTCTATTGTAAATATAGCAAGGCTTTAATATGTTACTTGTGTCAAAATACATTTTATATATTTACTTTGTAGTAAAATGTGTCTTAACATATTACATAATCACTGCAATTACTATGCTTATTGTCAAGGAAAGAACTGTATCAGAATGTTTTCTAGTAACAGAAAAATAGGCAAAGCGGAAAACAGTAAAACAAAATTAAGTTGGTAGTACATACCATACTACCAACTCCATGAATAAAATGTGCATCTATGCCATGGAAATTTTATTCATTTTAATGTTTTCTGAAATACATTCCTTGAACTTAACAACTTGTTCATTTTCAGAATTGCACAATATCATGAAAATCACCAGTAAATGTTTACCTGGATAAATCTTTTCAGTTTTTGAATATGTCTTTGGAAAAGGAATTCTTTTTCTCCAGGCTGAACTATTATATGATGTTGACATATATTTGTCTGAGAAAAAAAGACCAGAATTAAATATAAATTTTATAATTTGAAAATCACATTCCAAGGGTGTTTCAAAGTTATAAACAACTCAGGGGTGAAGGTACTCTCTAAGTATTTCATTTTACCATTTAAAAGCTAAGATATCAGGGATATAAGTGAATTTATTAAGACTATTTAAGTTATCAGCAAACATAGTTGCAGATCTCTTAATTGGCTGTCCAATTCCTCAACTAAAGCTCTCTCCCATGAGGATAAGCTAGAGCGTCTAATGTTGAGATGTAATAAAAATATTCACTGCCTTGCTTAACCATGATTTTGCATATAATTTTATAATTTTGTAGACCTTTAAAAAACATCCATGAGATATAGCGCAAGTTCTATTTCCATCTCCAGTCACAGTGACCAGTATACAATACAGCACTCCTTGCCCCAGTAAGTCAGAACATTTATATATCGGCCTGCTCCTTAAATACACACTTTTCTCTGACATCGCTACATTTCAACTATTATCTAAGAAGGTTATAAGTGTGTTTTCAAGAATTACTTTGCAGCTGAGAATCTCAAAGCCTGGTGCATAACAATACCAAGGATTTGTTACTTTTCTTGTGCTGACATGTTCGCTAACAGTACAAAACAATACAGAGTGCTACTGATGGCATATTCACCCAATCTAGATACTGGCAACAAACTATTCTAGTACTTATTGTATTTTTCAAAGCCATATACTTGCAGTAAAATAATAGTAATAAATATAATAATAGTAATAGTAATGAATAAAATTGAAAGCTAATTTCATCTAAGAATATCCTTCTTTACAAATCTATATATAAATTATTATATTTTAAAAGAGACAAATAATTTCAGTAAAACATATTTAAATAAAGAAATAACCTAAGAAAGACACAGTGTCTTTACTTATGTTTCCCAAAATATATATCCTTCAGACTCCACTAACCAGGACTGTGAACACGGAAAACTAGAAACATGAAATTTAGAGAAACAAGTAGCATTTTGTTAAGTTGAGGGAACTGAAACTCAACTTCAAAGGAGCAAAATTTATCTGAGACACCAAGAAAAAGATATTTGGCTCTGTTCTCCCCTGTGGCTTTGTACTTCCTGACATATAGTATGCCTTTGACTATTACATGATGAAATGATTTAGAAGCAATCTGTGCATGGTGTGAGAGATGAGAGGTTGTCAAAAATATTACAGTTAACCTCCAAACTAACCCTTTCAGAAAGTAATCATGAAGGGCCTAAAGAAAAACCAAGGCACTAGTCTGACAGTGATAATTGAACAATGCAGTTAGTGGAACAAGAAAATGTCAACCATTTAAAAACAATCCTCCAGAGTGAAAGAAAGCTGTGCAGGGAGAACAAAGCGCAGTGCTCTGACCCAAAACTCTAGGGAAGAACAGTATCAAATCATCTGCACCCAACATCAGTTTTCTTTGATATCTTTTAAATCAGATACACTCCAGCCGAGGAACAAAAATCCTCTCACTAGGTGTTAAGGTGATGATGGCCTAGGAAAAGAAGAGGGGAGAGAGTAGCAGCAACCATCAGCCAAGTCACCAGGCAGTTCCATGGGAAGGCAAACCACAGACAAGAGTAAACCACAGCGGTAAAGAGCCTCACCTGGATAGAGGTTGAGTTTGGGTTCTTTGTTAACATCAACTTTAGTGTAGGACCCATTTGTGGGCCGGCTGCGGGGCTGTGCATTCAATGAGACATTTCTGACGGCATCTCTTTGAACGTGGATATAGGACGCATTCTCAGCATTTCGGCTTTTATTGTTGCGATGGTAATTCATTTTATTTTTGGGATTTGGGGCCTGTACTGCTGTTACAGAAAAAGGACAGTGAGTGAGGGTGAAAACAAACTTTTTGCATTCATAAACACACTATTACAATATGAGGATTGGACAGCACAATGAAAGCTGACAGGAACTGGGCTGATAATCCCAACAGTGATTTGATTTTCAGGTGGAAAATATTTTGATCAATGTTATTGATCTCTTTTAAAATTATAATATGGAAATTTCAAACATATGGACACTTTACCTCGCCGCATTCCAGGACCAGGAAAGTTCTTTGGTTCATCATAAATCCATTTTCTTTTTTTCACACCTTTCAAATGAGGCTTCCTCACTGGCTGGACATCATTCACTTAGAAAAGATACAAATTTTTACAGTTTTTTAAGATATGCTATCAACTAAAAATTACTGTAGGTAATAATTACATAGCTGTGCATTCACATGTCAAGCAAGAGAAAAAAATAACTGTACCATTCTTATGTTTTACTTTCTAGAACAAAGGGTGATTTATTTTTAAATACCAAAAATATCTATCTTGGAAATAGATTGATGAGAAAATCTTTAATAAGTATCTTTCCTCCTATAAAAATCCTTATCTCCAAGGAAATGTTTGGATGCTTTTAAAAGAACATAAAATTGCATTTCAAATTCAATTATATGAGTCATTATGATGTTATTATTAAGTAGTTTTAGAATTATTACTTTCAACACAAATCATTTTGTACTTTAGCCAAAACTACTATATTTCAATGTTAAATTAATATAAAATACTTTCAGTGAATTTTCCTTTAAAGGTCTTGAGAAGTTGGATGTATAGCAGTCAAAAAAAGACTGATCAGAATTTGTAAGTGCTAAAATCATTACAATTTTCACTTTTTATCTGCATATTTTTACATCAAAAAATATTCATTCTCAATTTTCCAGGAATTCTCAAGGTACATTTCTCCATAAAAATCTTAAAACAGTTTCTTTAAAAAATTGATACTCACAAGTGTTATTCAACGAATTCTTATTCACAAGTGACTGGTACACAGAGAAAATGAACATCAGGTGCCCTGCGTAGACTACACTAGCTTTCTACAGCCAATTGCTAAATCTGCCTTTGTCCTAGATTTCATCCTCAGTTTAAGCTTGAGTCCTCAGTGCAACTCTAATTTACTGTCTCCTCCACAAACATCATGCCCAACCTCCATTCCTAAATGCCCAATCCTCTGACTGGGGAAAGCCATCTTGTTCTCCTTGCTGAGATCTAAGAATGCTATAGGGATCCACCAAATGAAATAAATAACAGAAGGATGGACGGAAGGAATCAGGAAGATTCAGAAGTCTCAATGTGTCAAGAGAAGTAGTTAAGCATACTGAAGGCCAAGGAGAAGACAACTCAAGAAAAATAATCCAAAACATAATAAAAACCTGTCAACATATGGCACTGTGGATGAAATTCAAAATCTGAGGAGACAGTATGCTAGTAACTTTAATACCTAAATCTATTAAGTAGGAAAGCATGTCATTTACTAGAACCTGCATCAAAATTCATGGTCAGAATTAGGGAAAAATTTTTCTTTAATTCTTACTACTGAAAAATTTTCAAACTATCCTTTTTCTCTTTTCAAAAATTATATTTCAAATAAGCAAAACAAATCCATGATAAGAAATACAGTAATCCCAAAAAGTGATGGAGCCAAGGACTCACTTAAAGAGGGGTCCTCTCTGCACTTCACACTGATGTTTTCAGTAGCATTTAACACGTGCGTTGTAGGTGCTGGCCGGGTAGTTAGGGAACGCTTTGGATGAGGATTGTCCTTGTTATCTTTTAAACGAAAATAAGACAATAAAATGTCAGTATTAGCAAATGAAGCATTTCAGTTGCCATTTCACTTTTCAAACATGACACAATAGACACATCTGTTTAAAATATAAACGTATATGAATTTTTAGAAAGAATTATTAAAATTCTTCAGTTGCTACATTGACCCCCAAAACTCAAAAATCCAAATCTGCAGCCTAATCTTCAAAATGTAAATAACATAATCATGGCAATACAAAAGAATTAAAAAGTGATCAATTTTACATCATGTGGCTCCACTTAAACCAAGGGTTCTGAAAATATTTTATATATAACAGCTTTACTTGTTCCATGCTCTGGGGCAAGAATTATCCAATAGGCTTTCCACAACAATAGAAATGTTATTAATCTGTGCTGTAGTACTTGGGAGCCACTAGACATATGTGGTTATTGAACACTTGGAACATGGTTAGGGCAGCTAAAAGACTTCAAAAATTTTATTGAACTTGAATTGAATTTAAACAGCCACACATGGCTGCTGGCTACCGCAATTAGTATTGCTTTAAGAAGGTTTTTGATGGGTTGAGCAAAATAGTTCCATATCTAAGATTCATTTATAATTTTCCATTAAAATGGTTTAGTTTGTTGACATGCACCTTTCTCTATACTTGAGATTATTTAATGATGGAGGAAACAGTACATGAGATGGGTTACATTTTGCTGGAAACAATGTGAAGTCCTCTAATTACAGAACTGCTGCACTTTTTGTCTGGGATTGAAAGAGGCACACAGCCAAGGGGCAGCAGCTAGGGGATTCCAAGCACAGTACAGGCAGTGGAAGACTGGAGAGAGGATATATTCGATCACATTTCTTGATACTTATAAAATGGGGAATTCATCACAAGATTGTTGTTCTTCATAGCATTCACAAAGAATATTTTCTAACATAATCCTGTCTTATCGACACTATAAATTGGAAAAAGAAAGATGAAAAGGTCTTGTGGTGTTGCTATATAAGACAGCCAATAACTTAAGAGCTAGTAAGATTCTTAGCAAATATGCAGTCCCACACACTAATTTTTCAGACAAGGAAACCAAGGCTAAAAAAGATGAAGTCCCATAGCCAAATAATTAGGGACAGTACCAGGCCTGGAACCCTAGGGCTCTTTACTCCTGTTCAGTGTATACCTTGATTTATTACTTTCCCTTTCACATAGCATTTTACAGCAAAGCTTTGTTGTTTAACTTACTGATAAAAATAATCACAAACTGATCAGAATTACAGAATGATTCATTACCTTTAGTATTTGAACATTTTGACATGGTGATTTCCTTTTCTTCAGGTAAAGCTTCACTTTCATCTACTCCAAGAAATATGATCCTCTGTGGAACATAACAGTCTCCTCCTACAATAAAACCTTACTGTCAGTGGCAATGCAGGAGGTTCTACAAAACTAACTTTTAAGACAGGAATATCTTCTACAAATCCCCTTTTTACCACTTCTGTTTAAACAGATACTGTCTTCATCTTTATATATATATCATAAATGCTTAGATAAATGCATGAAATGCATGTATATTAATAGATGAACACTAAATATGTAAACAGATAATCATAAGAAAATTTACATATTCAGCAAAATCAATTTTAACTTATAACAATCTTTAGTTGTACTTTTTATAAGGCAGAATAAATAAACATTTTCTTTATATTGTATCTTCAGATACATGAAAATAGTTTTCAGTGATCTTTTAGGGTCTTGTATTTTCCAGGACAAATTTCCATAATTATTTTAAATACCACTTACATACAAAATCTCCAGATTTTTCACCATACTAGTTACCAAGTCTTAACATGAAATACTTTTTTTTTTTTTTCAAAAAATGACATGCCAATATGGACTAAACTATAGAGAAATCAGTGGAACTAATATAATAGCAGCTGATATTTATAGAGCATTTTGCTATGGGCTGAACACACCCCTGAAAAATTACAATGACTTATTACATTTAATTTTGTGTCCTGTATTACTCTTAATAATTTGATATAAGTTTTCCTTAGCTATTTTTTAATGGAAACACGTTTGGCCAACAAAAAGCACTATTTTTAATCTTCCAAACTATGTCATGTAAGATTTTTCCCAACTTGAAGAAAAGCCATTAATGTCCTGAACCTAAACAGAAGACTTCATGTTTATCACTGTTTGCATTTACTTTGTTATCTTATTAACTTTCATTTATTTGTACATTTTCGAAACATATATCCAGTCCCACAATCATTCAGCACAAACATATAATCCTTTATTCTACAAGTATTTGTTTAGTGCACATGATGCGCCAAAGTTCTACCACAGAGTTTATCTACAGTAATTACTTACACAAAATGGCTGGCCTGAGGGCACTTATATAAAACCAGTGATAAAAGCATCAAAAAGAATTTTGGTGTCAGTCATGATGAAATAGCTTGTATCAGAAGAACTATCCTGCAAAAAACTAATACAAAATATCCAAAACAAACCAATTGGAAAACAACCCAATGTACAGAAAAGTAGATGTCTGACAGTGGAGGCTCACAAAGCAAATTTCCTGGATTTTCTCTTTGAATGAATTAAACTCTTTATTTACTGCACATTTTTCCTTGAGAGCATGTCTTATTCACCATGAAGGGAGAATGTAACCACTCAGCTAAGCCAGAAAGAGAGAGCCCAAAGTTTGGAACAGCCTAGGTGGCTTGAACTTGGGAGGAAAATCTGAGAGTGGAATAAACATCAAAGAAGTTCCCCTGAAATGTATATAAATCTCTGTTAAGTTGTTGCTTGACTTCCATACCTTCCATGTGCAAAGTGGGAGTCAAGAAAACAGAATAAACAGCATCGGAGATTTTAATAGTGGCATACTGCTTGTGAGGCAAAATTTGGAATTCAAGCCCAACCAAGTTGGAGAGATCCTGGCAAACATTCCAAGCTCTCAACTGATAAATATAAAGGCAATGTTTTAGGTGCAAGGTCCTTACACGAGGAAAAAGAACCATATCTCCAAAGGAAGAGCAAATAATACATCAGCTACTACATCATTACTAATAAAGCTTAAGGCCAATCCACGACAGAATCAGGGTGACCTGTTAATAGTCCAGCTAGTGACAAAAGGAAATTTTCCTTGTGGTAAAACAACATCATTAATATACCAAGGCCAGCACCGTGGCTCACTTGGCTAATCCTCCGCCTGCAGCACCGGCACCCTGGGTTCTAGTCCCGGTTGCTCCTCTTCTAGTCCAGCTCTCTGCTGTGGCCCGGGAGGGCAGAGGAGGATGGCCCAAGTGCTTGGGTCCCTGCACCCGCATGGGAGACCGGGAGGAAGTACCCGGCTCCAGGATCGGCGGTAGCACCGGCTGTGGCGGCCATTTGGGGAATGAACCAACAGAAGGAAGACCTTTCTCTCTGTCTCTCTCTCTCACTGTCTATAACTCTCTGTGTCTCTTTCTCTCACTGTCTAACTCTGCCTGGCAAAAAATAAAAAATAAAAATTAAATAAAAAATATACCACATGATTTTTTAATCCATAATGTTTGCCTCTAATAAAAAATTAAAAAGGCATATGAAGAAACAAAACAGTTGATAAAAAAAACAGGAAAATGATAAAGATTCAAGCATTATCAAATATGAAAGTTAAAAAATTAACATTACTCACAAACTGGAGGACTGATGGAGAATTTTAGTAGAAGATCCATAAAGAAGTCAAACAGAAGCTTATGATTATAAAATAAACTGAAAGTACATCATCATAAAAATTAAGAGAAAGAATAAGGAAGGAAGGAGGAAGGAGGGCAGAATAGGAAGTATCACTATGCTCCTAAATCTGTGTATATGAAATACATAAAATCTGTTCAGCTTCTATAAATAAAATATTATAAAAAATAAATTAAAAATTTAAAAAATAGAAATTAGGGACTTCACACATGATTCTAAGATCTGAGAAGATGGGGATCAGTGAACAGGACAGAAGCTTGGCATAAAGTATCCAGATACATTCTAAGTAATCAGCACGGAAAAGATAATTTTAAATGGGCTAGAACCTCTAAAATATACTTGACAAAAGAGGATGGCAGAATCCATGTGCAAAAATGGCTAAAATTTAAAGGATTTAAGGCTACAGAACAAGTTTACCCTGAAGAAAATGAGAATGTATGTCCCTTAGAAGAATGTTCAAGAATGTTCATAATAGCCCTGCTATCGTCTGAATGTGTCCCATGAAAGTTCATGTATTGGAAACTTAATCCCCCAAATCATATGTTAAGTACCTTTGGGAGGTAATTATGATTAGATGGTTCATGAGGTGAGGCCTCCAAGATGGCATTAAAGGCTTTACTAGAAAAGGAAGAGACTTGAGCTGGCACAATTGCTCTGTACGATGCCCTCTGTCATATTATGCTGTACAAGGAAGATCCCACCAGGTGCCATGCCCTTGGAACTCCCAGCCTGCAGAACTCTGAGCCAAACAAACTTTATTCTTTATAAATTACCCAGTCTGTTTTATTTAGTTGTAGCAACAACAATAAAAGTGAATTAAAACAAACACCAAACTGGAAACAATGTCTGTCAAAGATATTATCAATACTCATGATGCTTTTGTAGTTTTCACAAACAAATGAAGAGCGGTGGAAAACTTGAGTTGCTCAGCACATTCCTAGCTGAGTTCAAAAAAGGCAATGCTCTGCATTTTGTTTCAGTGTTTACTCAGAGAGGGCCTCAGGACAGAGACAGTAGTGGGTAATGCAGCCAGAAACTCTCTCCGGGGCCAGGTTGGGTTTGAATCCCAGCTCTGACACTTGTTGGATGGGCAATCTCAGAAGGGTCACTTAACACTTCTGAACCTTGTTTCTCTTTTGTAAAATAAAGAAAATAGAATCTACCAGGATGACTAATTTTCTTGGACTTAAGGCTATAATATATGTGATATATGCATATGTATATAAATGTATTTGTGTACATATTCCCCTAGGAACAACAGCTTAGTTATTGCTAACTCATTGATCATATCAACTTCATAAAACATAACTACTAGGAATAATGAAAATCAATTGTGTGTTCATACACGTGTGTGGGTATATATATAGATATAGACATTCATAGATATTCATACATACATATATATAGCTATAGACATACATATATAGACAGAGTTAGAAAGAGAGAAATACAGCAATGTAAAAGGGCCCTTGTTACAATCAACAACATGGATCATATAAAATGTGTTAAGCAAAAAAATGCAAAGTAGAAGAGTGCAAACTGTATTTTCATTTACATAAAGGTCAATATAACAGAGATCAGAGTCATAGTTAGCATTGGGAGTTACAACTACAAGTATTAAAACTAAAGACAATGCTTCAAGTGTTCTCTTTCAAATTGAATATTGACTCCTTCATAAGATTTCTAATATCTGATCATCTTCCTTTCAAAGATGTCTTATCAGGACAGGGGTCAAAGGGCCAGCATTGTGGTGTAGAGGGTTAAGCTGATAACCCGCGATACCAGCATCCCATATGAGCAACAGTTCGAGTTCTGGCTGATCCACTTCTGATTAAACAACCTGCTAATGTGCATGGGAAGGCAGCAGAATATAGTTCAAGTAATTGGGAACTTGCCACCCACATGGAAGACCTGGATGGGGTTCCAGGCTCCTGGTTCCTGCCTGGCCCAGCCCTGGCTGTTGTAGCCACTGGGGAGTGAACCAGTAGATTAAAAGTCCTAATTATCACTCTCTCTCCCTCTCTCTCTCTCTCTCCCACTCTCTATCTTTCTGTAACTCTTTCAAGTAAATTTTAAAATAAATCTCAAAAAAATAAAGGGGTATAAATATATTTATGTTATTCTATATACATCCCCCATGAGATTATTCAATTTAGAGACAGAGAACATTATGATATCTGGAAAATTGAAAAACTTGACTAGGCAGAAGTCCAGTAACCCAGAAGATGGAAAATTTTAACATTTTCTTGATATGGCTTCTCAGCCAGTTTATTCCTCTAACAGTATCAGTACATATACTAATGAAAGTGACAGGACATTCTTGCATTTTATAAGTCCCCAAAAATTAGAGGACAGATTACTGATGTTATCGCATTAAGGAAAGTTTTTTATATGAAAATGTAAGTTTATCAGTGATTGAAAATGACCTTTTATTCATCAATAAGGTGATATGATTTAACAATATTTCACCAAAATGCATGGTTAGAACTGGTCAGGTTAAGTAGATCCCAGTTTTGTTCTCTGCTAGATTGTGTAGATGGTGTAAGCTCCATTGGAGAAACCATAAATGTTTCTGACTTACAGCTAAAAGTTATTGCTTGTGGAAAGCCAAGACATAGTGGCAAAAACTGTTCTGCATGAAGGATCTCTGGGAGTGAGACCCCAGTGGAAAGAAAGGGCCAACAAAGAAGGATGTACTTTTCTCTGAAGGGAGGAGAGATTTTCCACTTTGCATACAGCCCTGTCTAAATACCAACGAAGTTTGTGGACTCAAAAGGCTTCTATAGCCTTGGAAGCTCAAGTCAAGAGCCTCAGGTGGTCACTGATGTCAAAAATAAGAGTGCTAATTGTTAAATCAACAACAGGAGTCACTGTGCACTTGCTCCCCATGTAGTCCTTAATGAATTGTACTATGAGAATTTACAGTAAAGCTTATCTTCAAATAGTACTTTATACTTTGTGTTTGTGTAGTTGTAAACTGTTGAAATCTCTTAGTATAGAGTTGGTCTTCTGTATATAAAGTCAATTAAAAACAAATCTTAATGAAGAATGGAATGGGAGAGGGAGTAGGGGTAAAATGGGAGTGGTGTGGGAGGGCAGGAATTAGGGGAAGAACCACTATATTCCTAAAAGCTGTACATGTGAAATTTGTATTCATTAAATAAAAACCTTCTAAGGAAGTTATTGCTTGAAAGCAGCAAAATGATGACAGCTAGTCTAAAACCACTTCAGACATAAGAAAGGAGAGAAAAGGATCTAATAACTTTAGTACTAGGCAATAATAGAAGAAAAATGGATGGAAACAGGCACTATGAAAGCATGACTGAGCCTCAAACCTACTGGTACCAACTGGCAACTGCTCTCAACTTTCTTCTCTCTCCTCACAAGCATTCTTCCCATCAGCACACTTTCTCCTTCTCCAAACTGTCCCTATGTTAGGCTTCGGAGTGGGTGCTTAGCCTAGTGCTTCACACATAGGTTAAGATACCAGTGTCCCACATCTGATTGCCTGGGTTCAATAATGGCCTCCAGCTCCTGACTCCAGCTTCATGCTAATGCAAACCCTGGAAGGCAACAAGGGCTCAAGTTCCTGCCACCCACCTGAGAGCTGTGAATTGAATTTCCATCTCTTGGTTTCAGCCCTGATCCATCCTTGCCTGTCACTGGTATTCAGGCAGTAGACCAGCAGATGACAGTTCTGTCTCTGCTTGACAATTAGGCTTGGAATATTCTATCAAAGGATGGATTTTCCTAAAATGTTTATGTTCAAAATCAGTTCTGAATATTTTAAGGTAGAACACACAATTGGGATGTGATGGCTTGGCAAAAATTATATATATATATGTGTGTGTGTGTGCTATATATATATATATATATATATATATATATATATATATATTTGAATACAGCAGCCTCAAGGTAGACTTATTATGTACCCTCTCTGTTCACAGCTCTAGGATAGTATACTACAAACATGCTTGATAGATGAATTCATTATATCCTGGAGTTCAGCCTACACACACACACACACATGATCTCTCATAAAAATATGTAAAATAGATCATCTTATGCATTCACAAATTCTCACAAGAAATTTGGTAGCGATATTAGCCCCTGAAAGCATTTGATTTTGTGATGCACTACCACCCCATTGTATAATACGTGAAATAGAAAAGAAATGATAAAATATAACCCATTATAGAGGAGAAAATTCAGATTCAGTTATTATATAGCAATATATTCAGAGTTGATCAGGAACACATTAGCTCACCTCCATTTTCAAAAGCGGCAATGTCAGTCCTTGGTTTCCTATCCAACGATGTTTTTATCTCACCTTGCCTTTCAATTATACTAAATTTTGTTGGAACTGTAAGTCCATCCCCTAGAAATGAAGAAGAAAAAAAGTAAGCACAAGAACCATTAAACAGAAGTTTGTGACAGAATTGATGATGAAAGTAAAAATTCTAAATTTTATAAAGGGTGGGCATTTGGGCTAGTGGTGACCATGGCGATTAAGATACTCATGTCCCACAACTGAATTCTGGGTTTAATATCTGGCTCTGCTCCTGACTCCAACTTCCTGCTTCCTGCAAACTGGGCCTCTATGAGGCAGCAGAGATGGTCTGTGTGATTGGGTTCCTGCCTCCACTGTGGAAAACTTGGATTGAAGTCTACTGATTTCAGTCCTAGCCAGGGACACTGCTGGCATTTGGGGAGTGAACAAACAGATAGGAGCTCTTTCTCTCTCTCTCTACCTCTCAAATAAATTTTAAAAAGTTTTTTTAGTTCAAACTCTCTAATAAATAAATAAATGAATAAGGTTTTAGAAAGCTATGTCAGGCTTGTTTGCAAAATAATCTGGTGAACAATATATAAATAAATGAGTTTTAACCGAATTTTAAAATTAAAAACAAAAGAGCAAAGATTTTATCAAGAGACAATTTAATAAATTAAACTAGGGGCTAGGGCTGTGACATAGCAGGTAAATCTGCCGCCTGCAGTGCCAGCATCCTATATAGGTGCTGGTTCGAGTCCTGGCTGCTCCACGTTCAATCCAGCTCTCTGCTATGGCTTGGGAAAGCAGTGGAAGATGGCCCAAGTCCTTGGGCTTCTGCACCCACGTCGGAGACCTAGAAGAATCTCCTAGCTCCTGGCTTTGGATTGGTGCAACTCAGCCATTTGCAGCCAATTGGGGAGTGAACCAGCAGATGGAAGACCTCTCTCTCTCTCTCTGCCTCTTTTTCTCTCTCTGTGTAACTCTGATTTTCAAATAAATAAATCTTTTTTTAAAAAATAATTAGACCAATCTAACAGTATTGTGTGTATATAATATATTTAGTTTGTTTGTGTTTTACATAGAACAAATTTTATAATCCTTCTTTTGCTTTTATATATTCACCATGAACAATCAAATTCTAAGTATTAGAACCACTTTGGACTAAAAAATGCTAATTATACTGTGATAAATTATTCTGTTTCCCTTATACATCTGTGAATAATTTCTTCTAAATTAAGCTGTTAAAAGCAAAATGAAAGAGACCTGACAAACCAATGAATAAAATGTGTGATTCTGGAATGGATCTTAGCTCAGTCAAAAAAAAAACAAATTTTCTGAAAAGAACATTGATGGCATAAGTGGTGAAATATGAGGTGGGGGTGAAGCTGTAAATAGCACTGTTCTATCAGTGGTAATATCTTGATTGTAATGTTTATACTTCAGAACAGAAGAGCAAAGGGAAATCATGTCTGCAACTTACACTCTAATAGTTCAGAAAATAATAACAATGTGTATATTTAGAGACAGAATAGAAGTTCAAATCTGGTAAAATGCTATCATTTGAGAGAAATCTGGATGAAGGGTGTCCAATAATTAACTGAAACAATTTAAAAATAAGTTTTTAAAGGCATAATACAAAGCAAAATTGCATATAATTGTCTTTATAATCTTCTATTTTTAATATTTGTTGCTAACTTGGTTTCCATTTGTGTGTACTTTGTTTTTTGATTTTTTTGTGTGTGAGTAGCACAAAATTGGAACCTGTTCTTCCCTAGATGGGTCCCACTAAATCTGTCCAGACTGTTCTACCATCTGAAGTGTGTTGCTGCCACCTATAGTCATATGTTGAAATAGCTTGTTACACAGGGATTTGCAACAAGATTTTAGATGCTCTCTCTGTTCTGTACTTTACCCTGTACTGGTCTTGATCCTGAGAGACTTTCTTTCTCTCCCCCTCCCTCGTCCCCTTCCTCTCTCTCTTTATCCCCCCTGGAGGAGAAGGGAGGGATTTAAATCTCTTCTACTGCTGCAAAATACAAGTTCATCCTAAGGACAAGAAAACAAGGTCAACTTTGGCATTCCTGGAGTTTTTCTTAGCTCCTGGTTTAATATCCATAATAAACACTCTTAGCTTGCTTTCATGGACAAAACATCTGACAAACAGCAAAATCAGATTCACCAAAGGAAAATGTCCCATAAAAGAGAAGACACTTATACACTCATATAATCAACAAATATACTCTTGTTCTGCCTTTAATGTGACTTAGATTCTGTGACCTCCCTTTTGTCCTTCTTGAGATAGGTTATCTTTTCTAATCAGAAACAAAAAATTGGACCTATTTCACAAGAGGGATTTATTTTATATAGAAAACAAAAACAGCAAGTTATTTTAGGGATTCCTGTTTCAGGTAGGTGGTATCACCAAGTGTTTATGAAATCTACTTATTTTCTGGCTCCTCTAAGAAAGCAAAATTACATTAACAGCAGCAGCTTTCCTTAGAAAATTTGGGTCATCCAAAAAAAACACTTCCTTCTTACTCTCAACTCTCAATTCTGATGTATTTATCATTTAATCCTATTCTAGTGTCTATCACACTAAAGAATTCACATTTCATCACATCAAACATCTTAAAATATAAGTAATAAGTCAGCCTTTTCATTTCTCACCTTCTTGCAATTCACTGCCATTTTCCAAAGGCTTTTCTAACTCCTTTTCTACTGTAGAAGTTATGCTTTTTGATGATGAAACATCTGGAGGAGTATGAAATCTGTAGTATTCACCTAATCTCCCATAAGAAAAGTAATGGTTAGTATATTTATCACATCAAGTACTCGAAAATCTACAAATGTTTGATGTCTTACCAGATTTATTACACATCTCCTTTATTGCTCTTTTTTCTTCAATTTCTTCAGCAGTCTTTGTCCATAAACAAGAAGCATCTATGAGATATATTTGTTTTAAATTAAATTTTCCCAAATCCAAATAATCTGAAAATTTATAAACCAGAAAGAAAAATCCCAATACTGGTTTTTGGTGTTTTTGTTTTGTTTTGTTTTGTTTTGTTGACAGGCAGAGTGGACAGTGAGAAATAGAGACAGAGAGAAAGGTCTTCCTTTGCCGTTGGTTCACCCTCCAATGGCCACTGCGGCCGGTGCGCTGTGGCCAGCACACCACGCTGATCTGATCCGAATCTAAGAGCCAGTTGCCTCTCCTGGTCTCCCATGTGGGTGCAGGGCCCAAGCACTTGGGCCATCCTCCACTGAACTCCCGGGCCACAGCAGAAAGCTGGCCTGGAAGAGGGGCAACCGGGACAGAATCCAGCGCCCCGACCGGTACTAGAACCCGGTGTGCTGGCGCCGCAGACAGAGGATTAGCCTATTGAGCTGCAGCGCCAGCCCAAATACTATTCTCATATATCAGGTTGGTCTTTTTTATTTAATTCTTAAATTCAAGAATTTTGCATATTGGCAAATGTTTCCAATTGCTGCTACATTTTAAATATTAGTCAAGAGAAAATAAATGACAAAGTATACATTTGGTTATCTTGAAATGAGAAGTTGGAGGCACAGACTTATGAATTAGGGTGGTGTTTGGAGGAGGATGTAGGCATGAGACATCTAGCCACAGAAGACAAAAAAGAAAACTAAATGTCCTGTGTATTCCTAACTACAGAAATTATGGTGGCCTGTAGCTCACAGAAGGACACACTCAGGGCAAAGCAGAGTGAATATTTTTTTCTGCATGCTTATCTTGTATGTACAGACTGACTAGAACCACTGTGCTGTGATATACAGGAGAAAAATTATGGAGTAAGAGACAAGACTTAGATTCTAGCTCTGTTCATCCTCTAACTGGGGACTACCCAGGTAACCCACATTACAGGGCTTTATAAATCATCAATTTCAGTTGAAATCTCTTTAACTTCAAGGATTAATTTGAGGCAGATAGATGATTAATGGATAGGTAGATAAATAAGATGGACACATGTACACTTATGTATTTGATAGTTGTTATAAATAAGGGTGATTATTATTAGCTTCTCTACAAGCACTTGTACATATTTAACAAAAGATTTGTCTCCCAGCCATCAAACAACAAAAACCTTCCATTCCAAATGATAAGCATATTTAGACAAAAACAAATGAATACATAATGAATTAAACTTATTTAATAAAGTTAGAGTTACCTTCTGATAAATCTCTGCCTTATATAGTACATTATAAATCCCTAATAGTTAAAAAATTTTGTGAAATACTGTGGGTGCTTGAAAGCAAACTGTAAATCTGAGAAAAGTTTCACTAACCATTTTGCTCCTCTCCTTCCTCCTCTTCTTCCTCAAAGTTAGTTTTTAAAACTAAAGGATGGTGAATTGGTCGAGATATATTCTCTTGAGGTTTCAGAGGTTCCTGACTCTGAGTCAGGGTTGGAATTCCTTCCTGACTTTCTTTCTGTAGTGTGACATCTACAGAGAAAATGCATCTTGAATACACACACACACACACATATATATATATATGATGAGTATATTCAATAACCAACCGTTGATTTTCTAACTAATGGTATATTTTGTTAAAAGGCATCTCTTATTTTTGGAAACACAGTTAAAGTTTAAGCACAGTTAAAGCAACTTACAGTACCTGCAAATCATGGAAAAATATGTTAGTTCACAGACTGTGGATAGCAATTATAATCACGACTTGGGATTTCACAACTTTTGGTATATAGGCAGTCTCTGATTTAATGATCATTTGAATTTATTATGGGACATAAGCAATACCCATTCAATGGAAAGCATTTGTTGAATTTTAATCTCTGCCCATGCTAGTGACAAGCAGTAGATACTCTTGTAATGCTGGACTGCAGCAATGAGGCAGCTCCAAGTCAGCCACATGATTACCAGGGTAAACAGCCAAGACTCTACCATTTTCAGGGTTGCTAAGCTATGATGCTGAGGTGTTTAGCATAGTAAATGCATTTTTTTTGACAGGCAGAGTGGACAGTGAGAGAGAGAGAGACAGAGAGAAAGGTCTTCCTTTTGCCGTTGGTTCACCCTCCAATGGCCACCATGGCCAGCGCGCTGTGGCTGGCGCATCGTGCTGATCCGAAGCCAGGAGCCAGGTACTTATCCTGGTCTCCCACGCAGGTGCAGGGCCCAAGCACTTAGGCCATCCTCCACTGCACTCCCGGGCCACAGCAGAGAGCTGGCCTGGAAGAGGGGCAACCGGGACAGAATCTGGCACCCTGAATGGGACTAGAACCCGGTGTGCCGGCACCACAGGCGGAGGATTAGCCTATTGAGCCGTGGCGCCGGCCAGTAAATGCATTTTCAGCTTACAATATTTTCAACTTAAAATGGATTTATTGGTATGTAACCCATGATAAGTCAAGGAGCATCTGTATATGCAGGCACAACTATTCTTATATTAGATCTGTGAGTTAAGAATGATGGTACTGGGGCTGAAACCGTGGGATATCAGGATAAGCCACCACCTGTGATCACAGCATCCCATACTGCAGTACCAGTTCAAGGCTCAGCTGCTCCATATCCTATCCAGCTCCCTGCCGATGTGCCTAGGAAGGCAGTGGTAGATGGCCCAAATACTTGGGCCCCCACCACCCATGTTGGAGACCAGGATGGAGTTCATGACTCCTGGCTTCAGCTTACTCCAGACTTCACTGTTGTGGACACTGGGGGAGTGAGCTAGTGGATGGAAGATCTCTCCCCACCTCCATCCTTACACCTTTAAAACAAATAGATAAATCTTAAACAAACAAACAAACAAAAAAACCAGTAATTGTAGTAATCACATCACAATGATGAACAGGTAAAATCACATAAGGCAAGCCTTATAATGACAAAGTATGTGTGTTCAAAGGAAGAAAAGAGCCAATGACTTCAATTATCTGTAGCCAAGGGGGATTCCTTAGAAGTCAGAAGCATGGTGCTCTCATATTTGTCTACTGGCCATGCACTGGTCAGACTGGCTAAAACTCTTAAGACATATTTAAATGCCCTTTATCCTGAAAAACTAGCAAATAATCTTTATTGGCTTCTATTATTGTTTTAATCTTCTATCATTACTAAAGGGGAGAGTGATTCAACATGGGAAGCGAGATACTCAGCAGACTCATAGAATGGCAGATGTCCTAAATAGCACTCTGGCCTCAGAATCAGCCGTAAAGCCATTCGGATCTGGCTGAAAAGTCCATGAGAGTATTTCAGGCATGGAAAGCCAAGACACTCTGGCAAAAAGATCTCTGTGAGTGAGATCCCAGTGGAAAGAACAGGTCATCAAAGAAGGAGGTACCTTTCTCTGAAGGGAGGAGAAAACTTCCACTTTGACTACGACCTTGTCTAAACAAGATAAGAGTCAGAGAACTCAGAGGGCTTCCATAGCCTTGGAAACTCATGACTGGAGCATAGGGAGATTATTGATGCCATAGACAGGAGTGTCAATTGGTAAAGTCAACAACAGGAGTCACTGTGCACTTACTCCTCATGTAGGATCTCTGTCCTTAATGTGCTGTACATTGAGATTTAATGCTATAACGAGTACTCAAACAGTATATTTCACTTTGTGTTTCTATGGGGGTGCAAACTGTTGAAATCTTTACTTAATGCATACTAAACTGATCTTCTGTAAAAAAAAAAAAAAAAAGAAATTATCAATTCCCAACTTGACTCTCACTGGGAATAAACATGACAATAGGTCTGATCTGATTTCATCATCATTTAAAAAATCATCTATTATTTTTCACTTTATGTTTCTGTGTGGGAGCAAACTGTTGAAATCCTTACTTAATGTATACTAAGCTGATCTTCTGTATATTAAGATAATCGAAAATGAATCTTGATGTGAATGGAAGGGGAGAGGGAGTGGGAAAGGGGAGGGTTGCGGGTGGGAGGGACGGTATGGGGGGGAAGCCATTGTAATCCATAAGCTGTACTTTGGAAATTTATATTCATTAAATAAAAGTTAAAAAAAATGTCAAAAAAAATCTTCTATCATTACTAATCTAACTCCTTTTGTTCTCTAAGCCCATGATTATCACATCTGGCTAATTATCAGAATTTCTTAGCTTCTGATTCACCAAGTAGAGATTAAAGGCTAGAAATCTGATACTTTTTTAAAAATATTTTTCTTTTAATACATTTTATTTATGTATTTATATTCATTTTGTTTGTTTTTATTTATTATTTTTATTTTTAATTATTTTATTTATTTGAAAGAGGTACAGAGAGAGGTAGAGCCAGAGAGAGAGGTCTTCCATTCTACTGGTTCACTCCCCAAATGACCGCAACGAGCAGAGCTAGTTGATCCAAAGCCAGGAGCCAGGAGTTTCCTCCAGGTCTCCCACGTGGGTGCAGGGGCCCAAGGACTTGGGCCATCTTATACTGCTTTCCCAGGTCAGGTCATAGCAGAGAGTTGGATCAGAAGAGGAGCAGCCAGGACTTGAACCGGCACCCATTTGGGATGCTGGTGCTAGAGGCTGGGGCCACCCCGATACTATTTTTGAAATGTCTTGGTAATTATGCAATCAGCCAAGTTTAGAAACCAATGACTTGGGGCTGGCACTGTGGCACAGTGGGTGGTGCTGGCATTCCATGTGGGCACTGGTTCTAGTCCCAGCTATTCTTCTTCTGACCTACTCTCTGCTATGTCCTGGGAAAGCAGTAGAGGATGGCCCAAGTATTTGGGCCCCTGCAACCATGTGGGAGACCCAGAGGAAGCTCCTGGCTCCTGGTTTTATATCAACACAGCTCCAGCCATTGCAGCCATTTGGGGAATGAACCAGCAGATAGAAGGCCTTTCTCTCTGTCTCTCCTTCTTATTCTATTTAGCTTTACCTCTCAGATAAATAAATAAAGCCTTTAAACAAAAAAGAAACCAATGACTTAATTCAAGGATCATCTAAGTGGGATACTGGGTTATGGGAAGCTTTTTGGTGGGTACAACATTCCACTATTTTGAAAGCATTCAATCCATTCTAGATCCTCAACATCCATATGTATTCTAACCCCTGCCCCTTCACCTACGCCTCAAAATTGGCTTACCTGAGAACAGAACCAAGTCCATGACAGCCTTGTCTATTGTTTACAAAACAAAGCCCAATCCTTAACAATGCCAAAATTTACCACATACCATATTCCCCCCAAATAAATTCTCCCTTACTGATCAATCAAATTATCAGGAACCCTTTCCCCATTACCTTAATTTACACACATTTCTGCCAGGAGAAAATCAGGTATGGTAGAATAAGGCTTCCCCATCCCAGGAGGACATTCCCTAATCCCCACAGACTGTGGACATGCTGTGTTTCCCATATAACATGTGAGAAAGGGAAGTGAAGGCTTCAAATGGAATTAAATTTTCTAATCAGCTCAGTTTAAAATTGCAGATCATCCTAGATTTTCCATGTAGACTGAAGATAACCAAAGGTTTTTTTGTTTTTTTTTTTTTTTTTAAAGTGAGGGAGAAACACAAATGAGTCCATTGAAAGAGATGTGATAATGAAGAGAATGAAATTGATGTCACAAGAATTCAACTGGCTGTTGCTGACTTTGAAAATGGAGGAAAGGAGACATGAACTAAGCAAGACAGATGGCTTCACGGAACTGGAAAAGGCAAGAAAATAGATTCTCTCCCAGAGGCTCCAGAAAGAAATAGCCCTAACAATCCTTTAACTTTAATCCAGAGAGATCTGTGTCAAATTTGTAACCTACAGAACTACAAGATAATGAACTTTAATTGTTGCTTTGTGGTAATTTGTTCTGGCAGTAACAGAAAATGAATACATAGAGCATTAGAAAAAGTGTCACTAGGGTCGGTCCATGTTGGATCGTTCTGAATTCAAATGTGTAGTAGTGCATAGCAGTAATTAATATTTAATAAGCTTTCCTTTATTCCACTTATGGATTATTGTTAAAGTATCCACCACTTTTGAGGGAAAATCTCTTGGCATCAATGAAAAAAGAACCCTAGTATGAAACTGAAGGAAAAACATAGCTTTAAGCACAAAGCTTTTTAGTTATTCTGTGTACAAATATATTCCCAAGACTTGTTATTATCTGGAAAGAAAATCTTCACTAAACATTCAAAACACTACATGTTTTAAAAACTTTATTCCTAAGACTTGTTTTAAAAACATATATTCCTAAGACTTGTTATTATCTGGAAAGAAAATTTTCACTAAACATTCAAAAAACTAAATGTTTTAAAAACTTTATTGAAAATAACTCACGTACTATACAATTCGCCCATTTAAGTTTGCAATTTGATGGTCTTTAATATATTCAAGAGTTGTGCAATCATCACTATGATTAATTTTAGAACATTTAATCGATTTGAAAAAGGAACCCCGCAACCCCACATTCATTAGCATTTACTCCTCAATTCTTCTCAACTCCCTTATCCTATAGAAAAATTCATGCTTTTTTCCAGACTGACCTATTTTGAATAT